AGCTATGAGGAGGTCATATGTAATTATTTCCTTTAGCTTGATTTACAGTGTATTAGGAGGCTTTAATTCTTCTGAGATTTTATGAAAAATCAAAGTCAAAGTAAGCAGACATCTGCATAATTGGATAGGAAAGTAGAATGGCTATCTTGGACATCATGCTCAGGCTGTGGTCAAGCTTTACAGGTTTTGCAAAATTAAATACCAAAACCTAAGAACAGAAAGGTTTAAAATAAACAGTTCTGCATAAAAATTTGAAATTAAATTGCTTGCTATAATTAAGTAAAGTAAACCTTAATTATAGCAAGCAATAGTTGTGCTTAAACTTAAATAGTTCAGAAATTATTTTAGAACTATTTAAGTTAAACACCTAAATATTGAACTTGAGTATAAAAGTAGAAATTAAGAAAAATATTTATTCAAAATGAAAGTTTATTTCAAATTAAATATATTTTTAATTTTTAAAATTTTATCACCAATATACATTAATATTCAACAATCATATACAATAATATAACAATCATCCATGGATGTTTGTGGATATTAATATATATTACAAATGACCTATTTGTTCCCATTAGATCAGGCTTTGAGAATAAACAGGATTTGGAAATTGGAATTTTCAACTAATTCCATAATAAGTATCAGAAATGCTCAGGTCATAAGCTTTAGTTCACACAAAGTGCAATTTACTGGCAAAAGCAAAACAGAGCAACATCGTTTCTTGCAAATTTTACTATTTTGCAAAAACTGCTTTGTAGTTTGGAACTGTCAAGCTTTTCTCACTAGTGAAAAAAAATTGCCACCAATTATATTCCTGCTAGTTGCCACGTGGTTCTTCTTTTCAAAATGGCTATAGAAACTCAATGGAGTAGATGATGTAAGTCAATTATTTTAATATTCCTCTCACCCAACAAATGAAAACCATGTTTGTTTGAGTCAAAAAAAAAATGTTAACAGGATATCAGATAGCTATTTTGTTTGAGATGTTCTCTCTTGCTTGCAAATGATTAGCTATTTAAAATTCACAAAGATATATATATATTATAATTATATATCTTCTCATTTGCCCAGTAGGAACTAACATTTACAGTAGACTGTATATATCACAATGAGCGTAAGTTGAAACACATCTACTCCCTTGGGCAGGTGCACCCCAAGACTTTTCCCCATATGTATATATATATTATATGTATTCCTTTATTCAGTTCTCAAAAACCATGAGACACCTTACTGATGTGAAACAAAGCTACTACAATAACTATACTGGTCATAATTACAACATTTAGTAGCATCTCTGCTACTTTACACCATCATAAGAAACCTAACAAAGTAATTTTTAGGGAAAGGGAAAAAATATAATCATAAGAATACTATAGATCAGTATACTTAAGTTACAGGAACAGGAGGTTTTGTAAACAAATAAATATAAAGTATAATGTGTAGTTATTCTATTTTCCTCTTACATTTTCATTCAAGAAAATGGAGAGATCTACATGCAAACAATGATTTATACAAATAATTTTGGATTTTGCCTTGTCTTATCAAAAATTATTTTCTTGATCTTAAACTACAAAGAATATTCTTTAAAAAAAAAGAGCCTAGTGCTATATATAAAAAAAAGATCAGATTTAAAAGAAAGTAGCAAACTGATAGTATTATTGCATAATACTAATATAAAAACTGACAGGTAGCTCTAAGTATAAAATAAATAATGCACTATATTTCATTCTGGTTTGAATGATACTACAGTTAAAATGGGGGACAGCTACATATCAGATTAAAAAAGTAGTTACCATTGAAGTCTGGATCAACAAGTTTACATATTTGTCTTACAATGCAGATAAGTTTCATCTCATTTATGATTAGTGTGAAATCTTCACTAATATATATAACATGTACAACAATATTAATAATCTTTAAGGAAATATACAGAATTTTTAGATTCTTAGAGTATGCTAGAAACCAGATAGAAAAAACTACATCTTATAAACTTAATTTCTTTAGCCCAACTGAAGGTTACCTACAATTGCATCAATTTAAATTAAACTGTTGTATCTTAAGTTTCATATGAAGGTAAAAAACCATTGTTATAGAACAATTACTAATTACACTTTTTTAGTGTGAATTTAAGTTATCTATATTGCATTCATTTAGTTATATTAGTCAATCTGTTAGCTTAACATAGTCCAATAAATAATCCTAGTTTAAATGCTTATTAAATTAGCCAAACAATCTGGCAGATAAATTTCAAAATCCAATAGCCTGATTTTTTTAAAGTAAATATTAATTATTCAGTAATAAAAAGTCATAACCTGAAATTTTAAATGACTGCAATACCAATCAAATCCAAACAAAGTGATAATTACAGATATGTCATACCAACCTTAGTAATAACTGAAAAGCTATACAAGATTAGTACGACATGACTAAAATACCCAAGTTCATTATTTTAAAACCAAAATTAAACATATGCTATATTTTAAAAAAACAAATAGATGTAATATAAATTTGACAACTAATCACCATGACTGAATAATAAAAACAACATTGGTGTTGGGGTACAAAAATCAATAATCGTTACCTGAGAGTGAGAGTCACTGTCATTTCAATACAAGATAATTTGAAAGTCCATAAAAATAAAACTCAAAACACAGCAATAAAATTGTTGATAAATGCTGCTGCCTTCTAAAAAATCTTTTCTTTAAAAGATCCAGAAAGCAAAACTTAGTCGTCAACTTAAGCAAATTTATTTTTTCTAGTTTCTTGTATAATAAGTACAGAAATTTTTTAAATCTAAAGCTAAGTATGAATTTAGGACATAGAAAAAAACAGATCAAATTTGGATGGATGATTTATAAAATATAAAGATTACAAAAATTATTAGACCTGTTCTTAAGTGTGATAAAACAAGAGATATTAATACTATTATACTAAATATTAAAAAGAAATTAAATATATTAGCAATTATAACTAATTTTAAATGATACAGTAATGTTCAGTTCAACATCTTAAAAGTGATACATTTGTCTGTTTATTTTTCATTAACAATTCTTATAGAATTTCTATGATTTTGGTTTAAAAAAAACCAAGTTAAAAATTTACACTTTTGGCATTTCTTCAAAATTAAAATACTGCACTGATCTAAGCCAAAATTGATCACTTCTTAGAAACTAAGAAATTTGTACAAGTCACATTAAGTAATGTTCTAAATTAGTTCTTTACACACTTTCCATGAACATGTTTGAACCTAGGACCATTTTGAATTGAGTTCAGAACATTTATGCTCATGTTTTTAATTTTCACTAGACAAGTGTATAAAATTAGAAATACTAGGAAAGAGTTCGGATAAAAAAAATTTCAATTATTAAAAGGAATTTTTGGTAAAAAACTAGGAAGTGTTAAAGATTCTTTTCGGTTAAAAAGAAATTACGAAGCAATCTTTAAACTATTTTAAATACAACAGCTCAAATTAAAAAACTATTCCTTTTACACAGCTTAAGTTTATAAGTAAAAATTACACAGAACAAGATATAGTGCTAAATATTTAATGTATTATACACAATTATAAACAATACAGCACACTTTGAAGCTCTAATTTTCTGACAAACTAATATACAGCATGCAAAAGTTTTATAGTTCAACTTAAAAATAAAAATTTACATTTAAAAAAGGAAAAAATTTTTTAAAGCATTCTAAACCAAAACCAGATTAATAATAAAAGAGGAGAACAAGAAATATTTAAATTTTAAAATCATTCAAAATAAACTAAATAAAAATTAGTGTTTCATTTTCTAATAAAAAAAAATTAGAAATTTAGCAGAAATTAAAAATAAATTTAAGAAAATTAAGATGTAGAAATTAATCATTTCGAGATTATTCTTAAAAACCAAAAAAAGTTGCATAAAATAGACAGGCAAGAAACTTCTGAAGTACAGGAAATTAAAGATTTAATCTATTAATCTATTAAGTATGAAGCAACTAGGAAATATCAAAGTATACTGCAGTATTCGAGCTTCAATACGTTTTTATCTTTAATTTCTGGTTTAAAAAAAATATCATCTATTTTTAAAAAAAGGCTAAAAATATATAGTTTCGTATGAAGACATAACAGAAATCAATAGCTGTGGAAAATAAAAATTAAATTAACAAATATTGGAATGCAACACCATTTAAGAGAATTTAATATTGTTGCACTGTAGGAAGACAAAAATTTGTTTTTTTTTTTCACAAGTTTACACTTTAGCAGACCAAAAACAAAAACATATCCTTATTAGATTAATATAATAAATGCAGGTAATTAAATATATCTAGATTTATTTAAAGCATAATTTCCCGTATTAGAAATATATAGAGCAAACTTTTTTAAAAAAATAATAAAAATATTATTATAATAATAAAAAAAAAAACAAACGTGTTCCGTAGACTCGTCCGGTTTTAGATGGACGAGATAAAAAGTTGCTTATAACTTTCTACTTCTTATTGACCATTATGGAAGTAGCTTTTTAAAAGGAGGTAAAAATTTAAACGATAAATTCCTGTAATAACGAAAAGGAAAGCCGGAAAATCGAGGTTTCCATTTACAATACGCAGAGAGCCGACAGTGTGACGCAGTCAGCATTTTGCGACTGTTGCGGATGAGTAAGCGAACGATACCACTGATGAGTAACGAGCGATATATACGGTCGAAGAACTGAGAAATATTCGAGAAAGGAAAACAATTTTAATAAATAAAACTACATTTATAGTCAAGAATTCGATTCGTACCGGCAACAAGACCTTACAGTGTAATTACGAGGAAGCACTATGCAGTAAGGGGTGGGAAGGGCGTAAAAGACAACGTCACGTGAATATTTCTCATCGGTTTTTTTCCACGTTACGGCTTTGTCTTTAGACCCAGAAATCTCGTGATACGATTAGAATTATTAATTAAAACTTAAAAATTAATTTAAAATATATATTAAGACGGAAGAATTGGAATTAAAAATAAATAAAAAACTTACGTTTGATATATTCATGGACATAACGTCCGTACATCCAGGTCCCAAATTATCAGTCGTCGTGATTGTATTTTTGTAGAAGCAGGAATTAAAAAAAAGGAATGGAAAATTGTGTGAAGAATTTCAACGACGTAAATACAGCCCTCGCTAAAACGCACACAAAAATTGTGTAATATTATAAAGTCACGAAAATATATATATATATATAATATACGAAATGAATAGTTGCCTGTATATCTGGGTAGTTTCCACAAAAACAATTTTCAAACTTTAAACTCCTTTTTAGAAATTAAACTCTGGCTTCGCTAGATTAACTTTTACTTATGTAATTATATGATGAAATTTTTTTGTNTCGCTAAAACGCACACAAAAAATTGTGTAATATTATAAAGTCACGAGAATATATATATACGAATATATATATATATATAATATACGAAATGAATAGTTGCCTGTATATCTTGATAGTTTCCACAAATACAATTTTCAAACTTTAAACTCCTTTTTAGAAATTAAACTCTGGCTTCGGCGGAAAAAAATGATGCTAATCAACCTTATATACCATGAATAGGCACGTATTTGCATAGGCACATGCCGTATCTAGTAGCCACGGCCCAGCAGAGAGTCAATGCGTCGCCATCTAGACTGTCGCAGAATGCTACGGAGTCAGTCCGGCTACCAGCTGTTCACGTGGCTTTTCGCACTATCACATGTACAGTACGGCACGGAAATTACCCGGCATTCAACTGCACTTCCGAGAAGATTGCATGATGGGTACGATCGATGCCAAGTCGCCAGTGGATGAGCGAGCGCAGCGGGTAATACGATAAGGGGTTGAAAGCCGCAAACACGCTGCTACACCCTACGACACTCAGGTAAGTAGTGGCACGCTTTAACCTACTTTTCCGCGCTATCCGGCTTAGAAAAAAAAAAAATCGGAAAAAAATTTTTTTCCCTCCGAAACGCGTTAAATTTACTCGGCATTCACCTTATAATCTAAACACTTAAAAGAAGATATAGATAGATAGAGCGGGAGGAAAAAAAGAAAAAAAAAATGCTTTCCTGATTCTACGAGACTCCCCCCGCTCTTTTTTTTCGCTACTTGACCGAGTGTCGAAGCATAAATTAAATTTAATTTTAACCAGTTAAGTTCTATAGATAGTATTTCCGCTACCGATTTAAGAAACGAGAGTTTATTTCCTCTTTCTAAATTTAAATCGACCTCAAGTTGTCGTTTGCAAATAGAACTTTTTAGAGTTTATTGTTAAATAGTGTCAATCAAGGCCTGAAGCCATACGGAAGAAAAACATCGATTTCGACCCGATTGTTACATATTTTAACTTTTTAAACGTAAAAGTAATAAAAGAAAGAATAGATTAATTTTCTACAGTAGTTTTATAAATAAATATCCTTGATTTTTATTGATAATACCAGGAATGTGAATGTTGTAAGGCTTTTTTTTCTCTGTTATAGCCTTAAAGCAATAAAAATGAAATAAAATTTTGCATATTAGCCTATATTACATTAAGAGTTATGATTTATTAACAATTAAAACTTATTTCTTGTATAAAAACAGAATAATCGCACTAATAAATTCATACATTAGCTAAAATATTTATAAAGTTTTAAATATACAAAAGTTTTTCTTAAATACAAATTAAAATGTTTGCAAGATTTCAACTGTGTAAATGTAGCATGTAAAGTAAATAATTTTTTTAATATTTAGCTCTATATATAAATGCAATGTTATGTAGAGAGAAATGACTTACTTGGTAAGCTACCTATCGTTACATATAATTGCATAGTTTTAATTGATAAATAATGTTTATGCATTTGCAATCTTGCAAATCAATTTATATAAAAAATGAACCTAAATAATTAGCTTTTTCTTTTATGTATGGCTAATTTTTAAGCATAAAATGACTCCAAAAAGACTTAAAATTAAATTCTAAGAGTAAGATGTTGTTTATTTAATCAGAAGTGTTTGATTTTTTCAACTACAAGTTGTTGTTATAATTTATTTTGCATATATATAATGGAGAGCCAATATTATAGTGAATTATTTTAATTTATTATTATAAATAAGGAAAAAAGAATAAAAACAGAAATACTTCAATATTACTAAAGCATGGTAAATTTTCTTTAAATTAATAATTAAAAAAATTATCTATTTACGTACCAGATCTATACTATATAGTTAAAGAAGTATTAAAGATTTCTAAATATTCTAAAATCTCTTAAACAAATTTCAAATCTAGTAATTAACATTCATTAGGCATTTTTATGCAGTATCATAAATATAAACTCAACTATTTTTCTATATAATAATGTTTCTCCATTATTATGTAATCAAATAATTTTTAACAACAATGTTAGCTATAGGATATCAAATTTTCCCATCATCCCTTATTTTGGCAGCAGTTCTTACTTGTTAGATTGAGACCAAGATAAGTGTTAAGTTACATTTTAGGTTTGTTTGTTTTTCTCAGAGATAGCTTTCACTCTGACATCTCAGTTTTGGTATGTGCCTGTAAAAGCCAAAGAATTATATCAAATAGAAATAAAAGCATGCACTGTCCTGGCAAAACAGACCTACTAAAACATTTTTCTTGTTGCTAATATAAATTGGATCAAAATAAATGTCGATTTGAACTGTTCCAAAATCTCCCTCTTGTACAGCTTTAAACAAAATCCATCTAAACTTAAGCTTTTCTATTTTTTAAAAGACTAAAATCTTTGAAGTTTAGTTTTCGGAGATTAACACATTTATTATAATAAAAACTGTGACTTGAAATTATAGTTAAATATTTTAACCACAGATCTATCTATTTTAAGGCAAAAATATAATTAAGACTTGTGTACTGAATGCTTATTTGATCATAAGTTAATTCTTCTTTCTCTAAAAATACTGCTTTGTAATTATCAGTAATATATAAAGGAAGAATTAATGTTAGTTTATTTATTAAAAATGTTTATCTCCATCTCTAACAAGTATATACTTTTAATATGCTTAAATTAACATAATGATTAAATGGCAAATTCCAAAGGCAGAGTACATCAAACATATTCAGACTGATGTACTTCATCTTTGTATAATTAATATGGTGAATTCCAAGCATCTTTTACTGCTGAAATAGAAATGTTAATTTACTGAAAGAATAAGAGCCAACAAATTGTTTTAGCATTTAAAATTACATGCCACAATACTTGAGTTAATATGTAAGTTTATACGTTAAAACAATTTATTGGCTCTTGTTCTGTCAATGAACTAATGTTTCTATTTGAATAGTTAAAAATGTGTAGTTAAATTTGAATTACAATGATCTAAAAATAATTTTGAAAGAAAAGTATCAAGAAGGCAGGTTTAGATTTTATGATGAGATAAAAAATAGATAGAGAGCAGTAGCTACATATTCCTATAATTCGCTAAGCTTGTATTAATCTATAGTTATATTATAATTAGTTAATCAGCAAATCTAAAGATAGAAATTTAAATCTCCATAGATTTATTAAAAATCTTAAATTATTCATTATAATTTCTTTTCTGAGACTATTTCTGATTAAAGATTACTCTCAAATAATAACTTAAATTCTTATTCATTTTAATTAATATAGAATCAGTTTCTAGTTTTATAAAGTAAGGAAACGATTGTTTTTAAGGTGAAATAAACGTAATCAGACAATGTTTTTTTTTGTATGATAACTGTCTTCAGACAAGTGTGGAAATCCCATTGGAGTTGAATCACTTGATGATGTAATATTGAAGAACATTTTTACAGAATTATTGATTCTTAGCTATTTGCTAATCTCATCCTTCAAGTTTAGTAGAAGTATATATATCTATATTTAGATGGTTTACAAAGTTTAATGACATTCATCTATTTTATGTAACCAAATTCAATAATGTTCAATTTAAAATATTTTTAAAAGTAATTCTACATCTTTTTAGAATAATATTATTTGTAGTATTTAAAATTTTAGGTATTTTAATAAATATGTAAACATATAATTGATGAATTTTGGTAAATAAGTATGTTCAAATTCATTACATAAATGATGAAAGTGTGACTGTATAAATTTAAATAATTAGTTATGATAGGTAATACACAGATTTTAAAAATATAAAAATATTTTAGGTTTCATCTTAAAAGTTTTTAGACACTTGCAGATAAATATCTTCAGAACAAAATTTTTGTGATTATAGATAAATTAGAAAGGAAATAAAATTCATAAAATCATAAGCATTTAAAACTTTATTTTATTAACTAAACCAACAGTCTGGCAAAGCTGTGACAATACTGTTTTGATGGTTAAAGTCTGTGTATATGTAAGATTTCAATCATTTAATTGATAATTGCACAGAGAGAACAGAGATCAGTGTTGTTTACATGCCAAAGGCACACAAACATAAAATACATCCAATTCTGTTTTTATTCACTTTTTTTTTATAATGATTGATTTAACATAGTTGGGATAATTCAATTTTATTTTTACCCAAATTGATCTGATCTAATGTTTTTCAAAAAAAATCTCCATTTTAGATTTTAATTTTAAGCAAAAGTATTCATATTTGCTTTTCTAGAAATTTGCTTTATTTTAAAAAATTCTTTGCAGTAGCCTTAAATGTAAATTCACATTCAAATTTTAATATTTGATTGTTTTTTTATGACATGTGTAGCAACCGTTTTTCATTCCAAATTTATCTCGTGAGTGAAGCCTTCCAGAAAAATTTAATTCAAAGTTTGGAAATTTATTTGCATGATTGCATTACTACTTATTTTTTTCAATATGAAATAGTTTTTGTATTGCATTTGGTGTTAAAACTAAAGATATTCTGGTATTTAAGAACTGTGTTAATGCTGTATTTATTCTAATAAAGAGCACAACTGCAATTTAGAGTTTGCTGTTGGTTAGAATAAATATAGTAATATAAATTTATTAAATTTTGTTGATAAGTAAGTTACAATTGTCCATCCTCTCATTTATTAACTACAGTTGAAATATTTTGTTTAAACACATCCCATTATATTAATTAGTTTATTGTATGTTTGTTGCAAATTTTATGGAAGCATTTCTATCATGTAAAAGACAGAATTAAGTGTTTCAAAGAATGTTTTCATTCTTTGAAACATTTAATTCTGTCTTGTTCTTAACACTTAATTCTCTTAATTGTTTTCAATGGAGAGATTTTAATTTTTATAAAAATTCTATAAATGCTTATTGTACTTTGAAAGTGGTAAGTTGTGAATATTATACAAAAACAAAAGTATATAATCACTACAGATATGAGGCCAGAAACATTTTGGGGAGCTGTATTTTGTGGAAAATAGTAACTTTTCCTTGAATGAAAAACACTTATATTTATCTCTAGCTATTGGTTTTACTTGTGTTTAAAAAATAATGAATATAAAATATGCAAAAAAATACAAAATATAGTTACAGATTATTTATAATTTTATCTTTCTGGGCTGCTTCATAAATGTTGTGATAACTTTATCAAGATCAATTGGTTTTCTGGTTCAATTGGTATTGTCATCTATTTTTGAAAGAAAAGTATGATTTTAACCTTTGCTGCACAATTAAATTCAAATAGGTTCTTATAATTATTTCATTCTGGAGAAGCCCAGGACCCATGGGCCATGTAACTATCTACGTGTCTGTATATAAATCTGCTCAGTAAGCATTGAATATATATAAATGAAGAAAACTGTAAGCAGAGTTATGCGTCACACCAAAAATCAAGAAAAACATTATTCAACATACTCAATATTTAATTTTTTAATTATAAAACAGTTCCTTGCTTTTGGAGCTAATTTTATCTTCCAAAATTTGTATAAAACTACATTGATAATTTAAATGAAGAACTTCATATCAAATAATAAATGATGACAAATATTACAAGCTAAACTGTAGTGTGGATTTGTGGTGCCTAAGAAATATATCTACTGTATGTAATTACATTTTAATATGTACTGATAATGAATAAAACAGTAGTTTAACATTTTCAAAATTTAACTTTTCATTAATAACTTTGTGATTTACTTTTTTCATTTACTATTTGGAGACATAAAATATATTTGTCCCTGTGCCCAAGTATTGTCCTCTCTGCCCTTTTCTTGCTATGTAACTGAATGGACTTAAAACTGTTAAAACAATACAATTTTTCAGGAATTTTTTATTGACTAAAACATTAATACACATTTCTCTCATTAATATTTCAAAAAGATAGAACTTGTTTTAGAAAATTTAAATGAAACTAATATAATAAAATTAACTTAATATTTTAACAAAACTTGTAATAGGTCAAAAGGTTTAATGGATGATATATAATTACAAAATTAGCACTTTGACTATAAAGATGATTGCTTTTAAGCTTTTTAGATGGAATTTAAAGCAAATATTTGCATAGGAGAGAAATGTTTCCTATAAGATTTATATAAACATCTATAACGATATAAAAAATATCTTATTATGCAAACTTAGTATAAATTAATTAGAAGAAAGTAAAACATTCTAAACAATGTTTTATATATATCAAAAATATTTCTAAAATACTATTGGAACTCTAATTGTGAAATATTAAAGTGTATTTTGTTTAAAATTGTTAAAAACTATCATAATTAAAACTATTTGTAGTACAGTCTTTCATTTTAAGTGAAATAAGCAAGTAATTAATAATTTAGAAATCATTCTTTTTTAAACAGTGAAAAAACAGTTTTCTGGTTACTTCATAGATTTTCTTATGCTTAACATTAACATTAAATTTAATATATAAACAGCTTCTAATAAGATATAGTAATATCATAAGGTAGTATTTTTTTTTCTTTTTAAATTCAAATTACATTTAAGAATATATGGCTTATAAAAACAGGATATTGATAATGTTGATACAAATCTCTTAAGTTAAAAATTAAATGTCATTTTATTAATATTAAAATAATAATTTGAAGATTTTGTAATTCTCTGAACATGAGTTACTTTGGCAATCATGTTTGTTTTAGTTAGGAAGAATTTTTCATTTTAATTATACGTATAATATAGTTAGTATATAAATATGCTTTTCATGATGTCAAATATAGAATAAAAATAAAACAAATTGCCTTATTTTTATAAGTTAGATTATTTATAACTTGATAATAAGGTGAATTTCAGCAATATTTAATGATGATTAACTGTATATATATAAAATTACTTGGTTATATTAGCTTAATTATAATGAAATAATTTGATATTTGGCAACAATACTTTAAATTCTTTATTATACTTCTACAATATTGATTTAGCTTTATGCACTGTTACTGTTTGTTTTATGCCTCTACTTTTATTATCCAACATTATACTGTACTTTATATGCATCTTTTATTTACTTTGTTATTTAAGTATTTTTTATATAAAAATAATTTTAATATGAATCTTTTAGACTTTCTAACTTCTCATATCCATTGTACAAATATTTTTAAAGCTTGTTAGGCATTTTCATCTTGTAATTTCAATGAAATTTTTTCTCACTATTCCTGTACAGCATAGTTTGATTATAGATATGAAGTAATTATAAATACACCGCTTATAAAAATACTTGAACTTGTTAAACAAGTAAACGTTTTAATAATAATTTGTAAACTACTTTGTTAACATACTTTAATTTTGATTCTGTTACATAATAAATATTTGTATTTATAATTTCTCATTTGAATTATTTCATATTTCAGAAAACAGTTGCAAAGATAAGTTACAAACAAACTACACGTATATAGAATCCTACAAAGCACCAGGTAACAATTTCATCAATTAGTAATTAATTTTTTTTATAAAAGGATGATGATTTATAAAACTTAATGTTTAAAAATGTTTTTTAATATTTTAAAAAAAACATTATGCTATTATTCCAGCTGCTTTTCTACAATTATGGGTGGAAAAATATTTTGTAATTGGGGCATAGGCCTACTCTCCCAGCCCACATTTATTGTGTATGTGAATATGTATTAAGTTTTAAACTATTTTAAAGGTCGAAACTGCTATAAATATAGTTTTTTTAAAAATAAACTTAATATTAAACATTTTAAATTTTGTCTATATTAATTTGTTTAAGTAACTACTTCAATCATTACATTTTTATTGATATAAAATGAGATATGTATTTATATAATTAAGATAGGTAATTAATGTTATAGAAAGTTTAATATGCGTAAAATGTTTACATGTACACTCATGGCATAAAGTTCGAAGAGTTATTTTTCAAATTCCAAAGTTTAACAATCCATTATTAAAAGCAGATAATTCATTTAAAAATTCTACAAAGTATTAGATATCCAGGTATGATAATTTAAAATAATGGTCACTATTTTAGTTATAAATTGTGCAAAAATTAATTTTCTTCATTTAGAGAATATAAAAATAATGCAAATTCTAAATTAACATTTTTATTAAAATAATGAGCTATTTGAAGAGAGATGGAACAATTTTAGTTATTAAACTATTCCTTCTTAATTTATATTTCAATAATCCTGGGGATATTTTGACAGAAGATTATTAATCACGTATAAGAAAATTTAGATCAGGTTAAAGCTGTAGGAATGCTTTATCTAACTAGGACACTATCAAAACTTTTCTTCAAATCCTTTCGTCTGTCTTTTGTGGGGAAAAATGTTCAAGGTCATACCTGATTATTTAAAATATCTCATTTAATACACTGATAAATAATTTAAAAACAAATTACTAAACATATACATTTGTATCTGAAAATAAAAACTAATCTTTAATTAAAACAAACATATTTCAATAGAATATTTAAATGGATTTTGAATTATGAACTTTTCAAAATAGACTAAATAAAATGATTACTTACATATGAAAACTTGTACAATTTTATTTTTGCAATTGAAGACTTAAGAAAAAAACAATTTTAGTTTTATGGTTAGTAATTTTAATTGATCTATCGAAATAAGTATTTTGTCATATTGGTTGGAACTGTCAATGTTCTACACCAACTACCTTAAAATATTGGGCTATATTTCAGTGATGATGATTTTGAATTACTTAATGATTTGTCCCTAGAGGGAGGCAATAGGTGCCAATATAGCCCATTGGTGTAGCTTTACAGTAATGAATCAGATTTTGTAGGATGTTTATCTGTCAATGTATACAACTAATTATGAAATTCACTTTATAGAATTTGAAAGTTATATTTTTGAAATAAATATTTTACATTTTAATATTGAAATTTATATCTTAAACTACAGTTTTCCTTAACAAAATCCTTAACTTATTAGTGAAAATACATAGGCAGATTGAAAGCTGTTGTTTTAATTATAACAGATTACTCTCAGGCTATATTTGTATTTTATATACATAAGGGCCAGTACACTAAATGCACCTTGACCTGAAAGATCCATTGTGCATAAACTCTAAAATTACAATTTCAATTGTATTCAAAATGCATAATAAGAATTCAAGTAAAACATTTGAAAAATTTTCAAAATACAAATAAGTAAAACAAGAAGGAATACTTTATTTAATACATGTAAAATTTAAATGGGCACCATGGCAATGTCTAACTAAACAAATTCCTATGACAGCTTCTCTTATGGCAAACTTCCACAATAATGAGACTTGTAGTCCTTGGCATTTTGGTTCCTTACAATCTTTCATTTATGTATTTGATTCTTCTTAGCTAAGTCAGCAATTCAAACTTAAAAAATTAATCAAATTAAAATTATTTTCATAGCTTGTTATAATTGGTGTACCAATAATTTAAAGAACAATAATGATTTTTTAGGCAGAAAAGATTCAATTAATCAAGTTGTTTTTTAAAAAAAATTTGTTCCTAACTTGTTCTAGATACATTTGTAGTTTGTGAAATCAAAATTAAAAAAGAAAAGACTAATTTAATTTATAATTTAATTCTCTATCAATAACATGTAATGTAGTTTATCATATTTTTATTTTTGAAATAAAATTATGTAACAAAAATACTTTAAATTATATAATCTCTATTGACGTAATTCTAATATTTGCTGGATAAAAATAGTACAAATTATGAGAATAATCAATTTCTAATCTGAAATACTTATAATGCATTATTATAAGTCTAAATATCTGTTTTTCTGAGAGTGTTTGTTTTATTCATCTAAATCTGAGTTTTGAATTATTAATAAATATATATTAATATAACTAACAGTAGAATAAAAGAAATATATGGCCTGTAAAAGGCATAGGATTTTTTAATAATATTTTTTACTACAGGTTGAACTTCTTTAATCTGGCATTCTATGATGGGTACACAACTGGGCAATAGTCAAATGGGTGACAGAAACTTAAAAATTTTTGCATGCTCAGCAAGCATACGATTTGGCAGATATTATTTATTTAATTTTTTGTAAATATTGGTAAAATATATATAAATACTGTATATATTCATGTAAAAGTCGAAGTTTTTAGACGATTTTTTAAGGTCAAAATTATGGCATTGACTATTACATGGATACAACTTTTGAGGGACTGAAATTCAAGCTATAATCCAATTGAGCTTCTACTGATTTGATAAATCAGTAGAAGCTCAATTGATCTCTAAATGAAACATTTTCTTCATGACTGGATTAGGGATTACTGGACCAATTTCTTTGTTGCACTTTTATTTTTATAAATTCAATGTAGCTTAAGGCCACAAAATATAAAACAAATATCAAAATAGTTAATAATGATAATAAAAACCAATAAATTACCATAGTAAACTTTTATATATACAGACAAAAAGTGAAGTAGAAATTTAAATTACAATTACAGTACATGGTACATCTTAAATATTTCACACACAAAAGTTTATTAAAATCCTAAAAAATCATGTTGTTCATCATTAGCATGAAATAAAGCTTCATAATCATCAGATACTAATGTCTAATGGTTGCAAAACATTGGCAAGTCTGCTGGGAGTTACAGCTATATCAGTATTTTGTGATCAGATGTTATAAACAATATTCTTCACTAGATGTGCCCTAAACTGATCTCACATGAGCAAATTCCTTTCCTTTTGTAGTCCATCAGGTCATAAAAACATTATCTATTTTCTACATCCACCTTCATCATCCATCCTTGCAAATGCACATGGATGATAATTCCTTTTAGAAATCTCTCCTTTGGCACAGTTTTTCAATTAAAAACAACCATTGATTTTAATTTTGTATCTTCAGCCATACATGAAAGAACTAAAGTAATCCTACTTTTCTTGTGGCCAGTGGTTCTCATAAATACTGTTTTTTTTTTCCTTTTGATTTGCAGTTCGATTCTCTGGCATGTCAAGAGTAATAGGTGTTTTGTCCATGTTTCCAATACATGTTATTCATAGCCTTCTTTCTGCTGACTTCTGATTACTGTGGCTGTACACCATTTTATGGCCCTTTGTCCTTTCGTTATTCTGCAAATCCTTTCTGTTCCTTGTTCCTTTCACCATCTAGAACCTTTTAACCCTCTTAAGTCTTTTTTTCTTGGAGGTGAGGGCCATTTTCCTGGAACTCTCAAACAACAAACACAAGGTTTCCTGAGGGCACAGATGAGGAAGAGTGTCACCTTTGAGCTGGGACTTGAAGAGAGTGAACGACAAAACAGCAGTGATCTTGTCCAGTGCCTGAGAAGTCAGGTGAATTTATTACTTCAAGCTGAAACCTTGAAATTCTCAGACTTCTTGAAGTAAGAGTGTCTGAGTTGGCATTCAGTTTGAATAAGTGGGCATTTAGAATGAGTGGCCATCAAATTTGATAGGATTGAAAATCCTTGAGAACCAAAGAGAAGATAAGACTGTGAATTTGGTGCAAGGAGTTCAATGTTGCCCCTAATGATAAGATAAAGACATCCATAACATCCGGGATCCTTTGTTCTGTCCTATCCACCATGTTGGCTACTTCTCGTCATCTATCATTTTCTTGTTTCATTAGAGTAAGTTTAGTATTTACAGTTAGTTTTAAGAAATATTTGTTTTGTAATTATTATTTCTTTTTGGGGATCAATTATTGTCATTTCAATCCAGTGTGTTGTGGCCATTATAGCATTGTTATATTTCCACTGTGACTGGGTTAGTTGTTACTGCTGGATTACCTATCCTAGAGTTGGCATTCCTTATTAAATCTGTAAACCATTATACCATATGTAAATAAATTATTTCTTTGTTGTGACTACAATGTGTTTACTTTGTCAGGTGTTTTCCTTAGTGGGCTAACAATAACCACTTTCATATCTCGCATTACAAACTGGTGGAACTGTATTATCTTATTGTCTAGATTAGCAGGCAGCTTTGGCAGATAATTAAGATTGCACAAAAGTACTAAGTCATGCCATTTCATAAACCTAGTCTAGAACTTGCTTTAAAATCTGAAATTTCACTCTTCTTTTGATTCTTTTTGTGCATGGATTTGGATGGCTTCACGAGTAACACACTTTGGGTACTTGAAAATTGGCAAGAAGGATTCTGCAACTTTTTTCTTCAATTGTGGCAACTTGTTAGGTTTACCTCTGTTAGCAACTTTTCTTTTTGGCATTGCCTGAAGTTTGTTTGATATCTCTCTCCAGTCTCTCACAAGTTTCTCTGAAATACAAAATTCCCTTACTGCTACAGTTATTTGTCTTCTTAAAAAACAATAAATATACAGCTGCATTTAACTTTCAGTTTAAATGCAGCTGTATATTTATTGTTTTTTCTGCATTTTTATGTAAAATGATGGAGAAATTTTAAACTATAGTTGTAAATTTGTGGTGTGTTTGTGCTGGTGGTACCTGGTGCTGA